TGAACAACGATCTACAGTGTTTTGAGTTAGTTTGAATTTTTATCTTTGTTATCCATGTCTTATTTTAGGGTTGTTTCCGATTTTTTTAGTTTTATTCCCTCTATTGTACTGCCGAATTGAGGGCTTATTGGATCCGTGACACTTGTTTGCCCAAAATATTACAAGGTCCAGACAGCGATCACTACTGCCCCGAAACCTAAGCCCAAACATCATTGTTGGTTCCCAGAGCCTAGACTTCATACAAATATAGAACCAAATGTCGTCGACATGCTTCTAGAATAATTTCTAAATCCAATTTTTTGCCGACCCAAAACTTTTTGTGCCTTTCGAAGATTCTACTGAGTTATATGTAGTGAATTAAACCCTAGCGAGCAGAGATTATCATTCCAGTTCGTTACTTTACTTGTGAAAAGGTAGATAAATCCACTTTAATATTTTTTTAAAAAATAAAAAATCAAAATTTTCATGGTTTTGCTAGGTAATTGGAAACAAATGGGATACGTAACTTCATTTGCTCTAGGCTGACTACACAGAAGGTCAAGTATCTTATTAGTTATATGGTTAATTTTTTCTTCGTCATTATGTTATTCGGGAACTTCTTTTTTAATTGTGCTTATAGTTTTAATTGAGTCTGAGGTATGTGTTTTAATTGTAGTTTGCCTCTGAATCCAAAACTTATTGAATGTAGATGTAAATTGTGATCATTTAGAGTCAAAACTATGTATTAGGATAGGTTTTGCAATTTACAGTCATTGGAAAAAATTATTCATGGCGTGAACATTGAAGTAGTTTTCATTTTTGCTTTTCTACTTCATTGTAGTGTAACTTCGCTGTTGATGTACAATTTATTGATTTTAAAATGTAAACTCCAATACTTCAATTTTTGGGGAAATTTCAGCTCCCATTGATCTTGTCTGGAAAATGAAATGATCATTTGTTAATATAAAACTTTTCTTTCACAAGTTTGTGACTGAAAAGAAGTGGAAGGTAGAAAGTTGGACAAACTTTGGCCTCAACCTTTCTTTTAAATTATAGAAGAGGTAAAAAGAGGAAGTAAATGTTTCATATACTTAATTAAAGTATTTAGGAAAAATAGGCTATTATTAGACTGCTTTGATCTAACTAAGCAGTTGCTCTAAAATTATATGGCATATTTCCTGAACATGATATTTTTTTTATTCTATAAATTGACAAAGAAATAGTAATTCATAGGGTTTTGTAATTGCAAGCTCATCCAAAGAACGAAGTTCATCGAACAATAGTAAAGTTCATTGTGTTTTGCAGGAAATGTTTATTTTGTTTATCGGATTTAAGGATATAATTAATAAGGTTAATGTTTGCTTTAAAAATACAGGAAAATTTTATGGTTTCCATGGTTCTGGAAGTTCTCAATATCATTTGAATGATGGAGTGCATGAAAGGTTATATATAGAGTGATTACTGCAAAAATCCTTTCTAAAATTGAGTATTCTCTTTTGTTGTGACAGTTATTTAAGGTACTTGTTTATTTTTCGTATCCATGTTCTTGAATTTATCTTTTATGTTTGAACTGTAAGCTCTGATTAAAAACAATAACATTATTTTGAATAAGTACTTTTAATTTCTTCCTGGGTTTTGTTTGTTTCTGATTTGTGCACTTATTGATTATTGGAATATTTAATATTGCATATATAAATACATTACATACTATATGGATACGTTAGTTTTGCTATTATTGGAGTTAAGCCGCTATTCCAATTGTGATAAATTGATAGGTTAACTAATGTGATTTTTATGGAATTGGTGAAAAGAATAGGAAATCGTTCAAGGAGGCTATACAAGTTCATGAGGGTTAATGTCATTAGAAGAACGAAAGAGATAACTCTTAATATGCAAACCCAAAGCGGGTACTAGAGTATCAGGGAATAGCTCCTTGAGATATTGAAGGTACTAATTACTGGAAAATATGCTCTTTTGTTTCTCTTTGCTAATTAAGGCATAACTTGTGCAATTGGAAAGTGTCGTAGTGTGGTTAAATTAATTGCAACATGTTTAATGTTCTTTGAAATTAAATTTGTTGACAATCCTAACATGTTTTCATGAAATCTAATATACCGGTGAACTTATTTTAGTTGAAGTTAATGTTATTGACTCAGATATAAGCGGTCTAGCTTTTTTTGCTTCTTTCTACTCTTGTTTATTTTATTGCTCTTGTTATTAGGGGGTCATTATTTTATGACGACAATTTTTTTATTTATTTTCTTATTTACTTGAATATAGTTCCTATGTTCTATAATTCTTTGTGGTTAATCCTGGACCAAATCTTTGTTTTCTTCACAAATTATACAACTCTGTGGATTTTTGAATGAATACCTACGGAAATGAATTCATCAAGTCCAATCCTGATTTACTTGCAGAAATGATTTTCATGTACTTGTATTTTTCATACCCCATTATATTTGGTTAATTTAATAATTCATTTGAGAAGATTGTTAAAATTTGCATCAAACCAAAATTAAAAGACATAAACCAAAGTTATTCCTCAGCAATGAGATCTCAGAGAAGATGGATGAACTATATTGACAAATTATTTTCGGATATTGTATTTGTTAGATTCCATCAGTACTTACAAGTTTAACCTTCGATCCGTATTTTTTTGTGAATTACTAGGACTCTTGTGTTTGCAGGATGCAGGTGGTAACTATCCACGCAACCAATCTCATTGTGTTAGTACCATTTGGTCATTATGATGGTTAGCTTCAACCTCATATACTCTTAACTTTAATGTATACCATCATAATTTTCTCAAATGTTACTTTTGTATATTGTTAACTTGTCCAATTTATGATGTTTTTAGTATAATCAATTTTGTTAAAATAAAATGTCTATGAAAATTATGTCAACTTATTGGCCCTTTATTTCAGGACATTTGAAATATTTATTTTGTTTCATTTGTATTATCTTTTTGACGTTTTCAATAACGTATAAGTCAATGATTTACTTTTGTATATTGCTAACTTTTGAAGGTCTTGTTTTTCTTATATATCACT